GTTCCTTGAGCCTGGATAGCTTGTTGGAAGCTGTCTTGGTTTGCCCCGTGCTGTTTCTCTGTTGGGTCCATGGCCAGATCGTTCTATTATGGCTATGGTACAACCCAACACTCAGAGAAACCAACACGACAAAGGGAGTGGAAGAAACAAAAATATTTTAATAAAAGTTCAAATTGTCTTGGTCCAAAAACAACTGAAGTAAAGGAACAGAGTGGGCTAGTCGGCTCCGGAGGAAGGAGAGGCTGAGGCAGGCAGGCAGGCAGGCAGGCAGACCGACAGGCAGGAAGGCAGGCAGGTTGGGAGGTATGTTGAACTGAAGACAAAACAAACGATGGGTTAAGGAGAGTGGAGAGCCAGGCAAAAGACAAAGACAAAATAACTTTACTGGTGAGCCAAGTTACCGCTCTGGTAAGAACAACGATCTGGCGCCGGTGGAGAGCCATGCCCAGGAATAAGTAGTGCAGGTTGATGAGAGAATAGGATGCAGCTGCGTAGGCAGGAATCACTGGAAACAACCCGCAGCTGCACAGGAGAGGCAGATCCTGAGCACGCCCCCTGCTCCACTCCAGACACACCCACATAAAGGGGACAAACACACATACAACAGAAAAAGAGGGGACAAAACAAGGAGGAAGGGAAACAGAAAAGGGAGAGACAAGCTGCCCACATAACATATTCAGAACCACATTCCTGTAAAGCTTAGAGAGGATCTCATGTTAAATACTGTTGAAGTAATATGGCTACAGGTTCATCTGCCTCACCTAAAGCCCATTCTGGTGGGAAGCTGCTATAGACCACCAAGTGCTAACAGTCAGTATCTGGATAACATGTGTGAAATGATTGATAACGTATGTGATATCAAGAGAGGTATATTTTCTGGGTGATTTAAATATTGAATGGCTTTCATCAAGCTGCCCACTCAAGAGAAAGATTCAAACTATAACCAGTGCCTGTAACCTGGTTCAGGTTATCAGTCAACCTACCAGGGTAGTTACAAACAGAACAGGAATGAAATCATCAACATGTATTGATCACATCTTTATTACTGCGCAACATGAGATCCTCTCTGGGTTTCTGCCTTTCCAGGGAGTTTTTCCTAGCCACCATTTTTCCATTTCAGTCATTTTAGCAGACGCTCTTATCCAGAGCGACTTACAGTTAGTGAGTGCATACATTATTTTTTTCATACATGCTTCTACATCTACATTGCTGCTGTTTGGGGTTTTAGGCTGGGTTTCTGTATAGCATTTTGTGAATCTGCTGATGTAAAAAGGGCTTTATTAATACATTTGATTAATTGATCTTCAGTAATACTGCATAAATTTGCTTTAAAGCAGTATCCGAATCCATTGGTTTTAGTGACCACAATATAGTAGCCATATCTAGGAAAACCAAAGTTCCAAAGGCTGGGCCTAATATAGTGTATAAGAGGTCATACAAGTTTTGTAGTGATTCCTATGTTGATGATGTAAAGAATATTCGCTGGTCCGTGGTGTGTAATGAGGAGCAACCAGACGCTGCACTTGACACATTTATGAAATGTATTTATTTTTTATTTAACCTTTATTTAACTAGGCAAGTCAGTTAAGAACAAATTCTTATTTACAATGATGGCCTACCAAAAGGCAAAAGGCCTCCTGCGTGGACGGGGGCTGGGATAAAAATCTAATAAAAGTGTAGGACAAAACACACATCACGACAAGAGAGACACCACAACACTACATAAAGAGAGACGCCACAACACTACATAAAGAGAGACGCCACAACACTACATAAAGAGAGACGCCACAACACTACATAAAGAGAGACACCACAACACTACATAAAGAGAGACACCACAACACTACATAAAGAGAGACGCCACAACACTACATAAAGAGAGACACCACAACACTACATAAAGAGAGACACCACAACACTACATAAAGAGAGACACCACAACACTACATAAAGAGAGACGCCACAACACTACATAAAGAGAGACACCACAACACTACATAAAGAGAGACGCCACAACACTACATAAAGAGAGACGCCACAACACTACATAAAGAGAGACACCACAACACTACATAAAGAGAGACACCACAACACTACATAAAGAGAGACACCACAACACTACATAAAGAGAGACACCACAACACTACATAAAGAGAGACGCCACAACACTACATAAAGAGAGACACCACAACACTACATAAAGAGAGACACCACAACACTACATAAAGAGAGACGCCACAACACTACATAAAGAGAGACACCACAACACTACATAAAGAGAGACGCCACAACACTACATAAAGAGAGACGCCACAACACTACATAAAGAGAGACGCCACAACACTACATAAAGAGAGACACCACAACACTACATAAAGAGAGACACCACAACACTACATAAAGAGATACCACAACACTACATAAAGAGATACCACAACACTACATAAAGAGAGACACCACAACACTACATAAAGAGAGACACCACAACACTACATAAAGAGAGACACCACAACACTACATAAAGAGAGACACCACAACACTACATAAAGAGAGACGCCACAACACTACATAAAGAGAGACACCACAACACTACATAAAGAGAGATGCCACAACACTACATAAAGAGAGACACCACAACACTACATAAAGAGAGACACCACAACACTACATAAAGAGAGACGCCACAACACTACATAAAGAGAGACACCACAACACTACATAAAGAGAGACACCACAACACTACATAAAGAGAGACACCACAACACTACATAAAGAGAGACGCCACAACACTACATACAGAGAGACACCACAACACTACATAAAGAGAGACACCACAACACTACATAGAGAGAGACACCACAACACTACATAAAGAGAGACACCACAACACTACATAAAGAGAGACGCCACAACACTACATAAAGAGAGACACCACAACACTACATAAAGAGCGACACCACAACACTACATAAAGAGAGACGCCACAACACTACATAAAGAGAGACACCACAACACTACATAAAGAGAGACACCACAACACTACATAAAGAGAGACACCACAACACTACATAAAGAGAGACGCCACAACACTACATAAAGAGAGACGCCACAACACTACATAAAGAGAGACACCACAACACTACATAAAGAGAGACGCCACAACACTACATAAAGAGAGACACCACAACACTACATAAAGAGAGACGCCACAACACTACATAAAGAGAGACACCACAACACTACATAAAGAGAGACGCCACAACACTACATAAAGAGAGACGCCACAACACTACATAAAGAGAGACACCACAACACTACATAAAGAGAGACACCACAACACTACATAAAGAGAGACACCACAACACTACATAAAGAGAGACACCACAACACTACATAAAGAGAGACACCACAACACTACATAAAGAGAGACACCACAACACTACATAAAGAGAGACACCACAACACTACATAAAGAGAGACGCCACAACACTACATAAAGAGAGACGCCACAACACTACATAAAGAGAGACACCACAACACTACATAAAGAGAGACGCCACAACACTACATAAAGAGAGACACCACAACACTACATAAAGAGAGACGCCACAACACTACATAAAGAGAGACACCACAACACTACATAAAGAGAGACGCCACAACACTACATAAAGAGAGACGCCACAACACTACATAAAGAGAGACACCACAACACTACATAAAGAGAGACACCACAACACTACATAAAGAGAGACGCCACAACACTACATAAAGAGAGACACCACAACACTACATAAAGAGAGACACCACAACACTACATAAAGAGAGACACCACAACACTACATAAAGAGAGACGCCACAACACTACATAAAGAGAGACCTAAGACAACAACATAGCATGGCAGCAACACACGACAACACAGCATGGTAGCAACACCACATGGTACATACGTTATTGGGCTCAGACAACAGCACAAAGGACAAGAAGGTAGAGACAACAATACATCACACGAAGCAGCCACAACTGGCAGTAAGAGTGTCCATGATTGAGTCTTTTAATGAAGATATTATTTATTATTAAGAGATGGAGATAAAACTGTCCAGTTTTAGTGTTTGTTGCTAGCTGCAGATAACTGAAAATAGTAAAATAAATAGCTAATTACTAATAAGCATGCACCAATTAAGAAAATGACTGTAAAAACTGTTAAATCCCCGTGGATTGATGAGGAATTTTAAAATGGTATGGTTGAGAGGGATGAGGTAAAACGAATGGCAAATAAGTCTGGCTGCACAACCGATTGGCAAACGTATTGCAAACTGAGAAATCATGTGACTAAACTGAATAAAAAGAAGAAGAAACTACACTATGAAACAAAGATAAATGACATAAAGAATGATAGTAAAAAGCTTTGGAGCACCTTCAATTACATTTTGTGACAAAACGCAAACTCATCTCCATCATTTATTGAATCAGATGGCTCGTTCATCACAAAACCCACTGATATTGCTAACTACTTTAATGATTTTTCATTGCCAAGATCAGCAAAATTAGGCTTGACATGCCAGCAACAAACGCTGACACTACATTTCCAAGTATAACTGACAAAATTATGAAAGACAAGCGTAATTTTGAATTCTGTAAAGTGAGCGTGGAAGAGGTGAAAAAATTATTGTTGTCTATCAACAATGACAAGCCTCTGGGGTCTCTGGGACAAGCCTCTGGAGTCTCTGGGACAAGCCTCTGGGGTCTCTGGGACAAGCCTCTGGGGTCTCTGGGACAAGCCACTGGGGTCTCTGGGACAAGCCTCTGGGGTCTCTGGGACAAGCCTCTGGGGTCTCTGGGACAAGCCACTGGGGTCTCTGGGACAAGCCTCTGGGGTCTCTGGGACAAGCCTCTGGGGTATCTGGGACAAGCCACTGGGGTACGCATACAGTGAGCCTTCAGGACCAGGATTTCATAAATAATTCTAACCTCACTCCCCCTGGTCTCTCCTCCAGTCTCCATTGATGAGATAGACTCGGTGCGTAAGGGCCGTCAGTCGGAGGGTCTTCAGAAGTACACAGAGGCCCACGTGGAGGACCGCTGTTTCTCCATCATCTTTAAGGGCCGCAGGAGGACCCTGGACCTGGTGGCTCCCTCGGGGGAAGAGGCTAGGCAGTGGGTCAATGGTCTGGAGAAGATCACCTCCAACCGGAGGAAACTCAACCGCCAGCAGACGAGCGAACAGTATCCTCTTTTGTGAATCTGCTTGCATTGCAAATCACAACTAATACGTTGTTTAGTTACTTGGGGTTACAAATCAAAAGATAGTGTTCAGCCTATACAGTCAAGTGGATTCCCATCTATAATGGGTCAAAAGTTAAGCAACTGGTGTCCAACTGTCTCTGTTGAATGATTGATCCTTAAATCTGGGCGTATTAAAGCTGGATCTTCAACTGTATGAGGAGAGCAGACAAGAACAAGGACAACAAGATGACTCTGAAGGAGCTGAAACACTTCCTCCGCCAGATGAACATCAAGGTGGATGACACGTACGCTGAAGTGCTGTTCGCAGTGAGTGGACAGCTTCTGTTGGTCAATGACTTACAAGGATGGTGTTATAGAAGCTGTACAGGCAGCTCTTAATGCAGTTCTGTCATGTTCCTGTATGTATATGGGTTGCATTTAAGGTTCTGCTATGTCTCAAAGCATTTTATTAGTCTGAGGAGGACCTCAATGTACTGTATCTCGTTAGTAAAGTACTGTTTTGTTAATGATCTTGTCCTACAGAAATGTGACAAGTCTAACTCGGGCTCCCTGGAAGGTCCTGAGATCGAACACTTCTATAACCTGCTGATACACCGCGAGGAGATCGATGTGATCTACAGGAAGTACGCCTCCACGGGGGAGCAGATGAGTGTCAAAGACCTGCTCAACTTCCTGCTGAACGAGCAGCGTGAGGTGGCCACCATGGAGGACGCTGTCGGACTCATAGAGAGATATGAGCTGGACGACTCAGGTGAGGAGAGATGCTGTGGTACTGACTCAATACGAGCTGGATGACTCAGGTGAGGAGAGATGCTCAGTTCACACAAACATAAACTCACTGAGTGTACAAAACATTAAGATCACCTGCTCTTTCCATGACAGACTGACCAAGTGAATCCAGGTGAAAGCTATGATCCCTTATTGATGTCACTTGTTAAATCCACTTCAATCAGTGTAGGTGAAGGGGAGGAGACAGGTTACAGAAGGATTTTTAAGCCTTGAGACAATTGAGACATGGATTGTGTATGTGTGCCATTCACAGGGTGAATGGGAAAGACAAAAGTGCCTTTGAACGGGGTATGGTAGTAGGTGCCAGGCTCTGTCAAATGAGTTGTTGATCATTGCTAGACAACCATTTTCAAGTCTAAGTCATTTTCAAAACTGTAACTCGGCCACTTAGGAACATTCACTGTCTACTTGGTAAGCAACTCCAGTGTAGATTTGGCCTTGTGTTTTAGGTTATTGTCCTGCTGAAAGGTGAATTCATCTCCCAGTGTCTGGTGGAAAGCAGACTGAACCAGGTTTTCCTCTAGGATTTTGCCTGTGCTTAGCGCCATTCAGTTTCTTTTTTATCCTGAAAAACTCCCTTAAAGATTACAAGCCATAACACCCATAACACAGTGGCGGTCGGTGCCATTTACGATCAGGCCGATTCTTTTTTTATGAGTGTGACGGATGATTTGGATGGAGTCAGGCATAAGAGGGTAAATCTCAGAATAAATGGTTTATCCGGTAAGACAGCGGTACGCAGCAATACGTAAAACACTCCAGTGCGGTAAATACGCCGCACTGGAGAAAACAAGGCACACGGGTGAATATCCTGGAAATACAAAATACAAAGAGCTCCACCGAGCTATAGTAACCTCCACAATAAACAATCATACACAAAGACAAGGGGGGCAGAGGGAATACTTATACAGGTACTGGTGAGGGGATATGAACCAGGTGTGTGTAATTAACAAGACAAAACAAATGGAATGATGAGATGAGGAGCGGCAGTGGCTAGAAGGCCGGTGACGACGAACGCCGAAGCCTGCCCGAACAAGGAGAGGGAGGCAGCTTCGTAGGAAGTCGTGACAATGAGCATGGCCTTATTTCTATTACAGCATATTGGATGACTGTCATTCATATTCCATTCACCCAGTTCAATGTAACATCGATAGGTTTAGGTTACTACATTATACTCACATTTTCCCTATACCCATCATGAGGTTGCTACAACCTAGCCTATGAATTAAAGTTTACAACGTAGGTGCACAGGTTGAGAGAATTATTTTAGTAATGAAGGTGACAGACAGTTACACATTCAATACCACCTTGCACACTCTGGCCTGCATCTAGCTGATCTAGGGTGTAATCATTAGCCAAACAGTTGCAAACTAGAGTTTCTATTGGACAAATGGAGGTATGTGTATCCACATTTCATTCCGTTTGCTTCCTTTTAAGAAACATTTTTCAACAGAATCAGTGTAATGAATTCATCCCTGATCACACGCAAACACAGTTGAGTTTTATAGCAGCCACATACAAACAGCATGATCACTTTTCTTGTTAATTCCATCTTGCATCTATGCGCTGTCTGTGACTAGACGAAAACACCTTTCCAAGCCAAACCTTCATACCATAACCGCTAACCACTACACACAGACTACATCGTTGTCACCATATTAGCTAACGTCATAATCAACATAGCTACTAGAACTAATGCGTTAGTAAACCTGCTACAATCATGCAGTACAGTGTACAGTCAGCAAGCAGTTTAGCAGTTACACCGGTGGGCCCCGGTGGCAATAAATTAATAAAAACAAAAGCTTACCTTGACTTGGAAAAGTTCCTGTGTTGGATAGCCATAGCCTGCTAGCTAACATGGCATCCCTCTCTGTTTGAGTAAGCTAAAAGTGAAGAAGAATAATCTCATTGCAAAACAGTGTTTTAATCAATTATTTGGGACGTGAATATATTTAGTATAGTTTTATCTAAAAATGATCACTTTTGTAATGTTTCACTTTTTTTTTCTTCTGAAATTCACTGAGGAGGATGGTCCTCCCCTTCCTCCACCGTTATCCTGGTCCTGAGGAGGATGGTCCTCCCCTTCCTCCACCATTATCCTGGTCCTGAGGAGGATGGTCCTCCCCTTCCTCCACCGTTATCCTGGTCCTGAGGAGGATGGTCCTCCCCTTCCTCCACCGTTATCCTGGTCCTGTGTAGCTCAGTTGTTAGAGCATGGCGCTTGCAATGCCAAGGTTGTGGGTTCGATTCCCATGGGGGACCAGTATGACAAAAGTATGAAATGTATGCACTCACTAACTGTAAGTCGCTCTGGATAAGAGCGTCTGCTAAAATGACAAACAAAAGAAATAAGATGATGGAGCCGCCACCAAGCATACCCATAATACACTTTCTCCTCTGAGGAGCCTCCACTGCCATAACATGATGCAGACGCCACCATGCATACCCATAATACACTTTCTCCTCTGAGGAGCCTCCACTGCCATAACATGATGGAGCCGCCACCATGCTATGTGTTCTATTGCATTTGCCCCAAACATAACACTTCCTATTCAGGACAAAGAGTGAATTGCTTTGCCACATTTTTTGCAGCATTACTTTAGCGCTTTGTTGCAAACAGGATGCATGTTTTTGAATATTTTTTATTCTGTACAAGCTTCCTTCTTTTCACTATGTCAAATAGGTTAATATTGTCGAGTAACCACAAAGTTGTTGATCCATCCTCAGTTTTCTCCTATCACAGCCATTAGACTCTGTAACTGTTTTAAAGTCACCATTGGCCTCATGGTGAAATCCCTGAGTGGTTTCCTTCCTCTCTGGCAACCTAGTTAGGAAGGACACCTGTATTTTTGTAGTGACTTGGTTTATTGATAGCACCATCCAAATTGCAATTAATAACTTCATCGTGCTCAAAGGGATATTCAATGTCTACTTTTTTTTATTTTTACCCATCTACCAATAGGTGCCCTTCTTTGCGAGGCATTGGAAAACCTCCCTGGTCTTTGTGGTTGAATCTGTGTTTAAATTCGCTGCTCGACTGAGGGACCTTACAGATAATTGTATGTGTGGGTACAGAGATGAGGAGTCATTCAAAAATCATGTTAAACACTATTATTGCACACAGAGTGGGGACATGCAACGTATTATGTGACTTGTTAAGCAAATTGTTTACTCCTGAACTTATTTTGGCTTGCCATAACAAAGGTGTTGAATACTTATTGACTGAAGACATTTCAGCTTTTAATTATTAATAAATTAGTAAAATATTTGAAAACATAAATCCACTTTGACATTATGGGGTATTGTGTGTAGGCCAGTGACAAAACAATCTCAATTTAATCCATTTTAAATTCAGGCTGTAACACAACAAAATGTGTCAAGGGGTGTGAATACCTTCTGAAGGTAGTGTATATCTGAGAGACCTATTTCACAAGACCCAACCCCCTATCTCATTCTGTCCCCTGTCCCCCCGCCCAGCTAAGCAGAAGAATCACATGACCAAAGATGGCTTCCTGATGTACCTGCAGCAGGAGGAGGGGTCTATCTTCAACCCCGCCCACAAGGAGGTGTTCCAGGATATGAGCCAGCCAATCAACCACTACTTCATCAGCTCCTCCCACAACACCTACCTGATGGAAGACCAGCTCAAAGGCCCAAGCAGCACAGAGGCCTATATCAAGTAACCATGACAACCTTTCATCTAAACGAACCGTACATTACTACCTATAATCTAATCTAACCATACCTTACTACCTCTAATCTAATCTAATCTAAACTAACCATACCTTACTACCTCTAATGTAATCGAATCAAAGCTAATCAATCAACCAGACCGGACGTACCGAAGCGAAGCAAACGAACCAGACCGGACGACCGCGAAGCGAAGCGAAGAACGAAGGAAGCGAAGAACGAAGCGAAGCGAAGCAGGAAGCGAAGCAAGCGAAGAGCAAAGCGAAGCGAAGCGAAGCTGAAGAACCAGACGGGACGACCGCGAAGCGAAACGAACCAGACCGGACGACCGCGAAGCGAAACGAACCAGACAGACGACGCGAAGCGAAGAGAACCAGACAGGACGACCGCGAAGCGAAGCGAAACGAACAACGAACGACCGGAAGCGAAGCGAAGCGAAAGGAACCAGACGGACGACCGCGAAGCGAACGAACAGGAACGACGAAGCGAAGCGAAGCGAAGCGAAAACGAAGCAGGAAGAAGACGAAGCGAAGGAAAGAACGGACCGAGACCGGAAGAAAGAAACCAGAAAGACGACCGGAAGAGGAAGCGAGAAAGAACGACGACGACCGGCGAAGCGAAGCGAAGAGACGAAGCGAAGAAAGACAAGAAACGACCGCGAGAGGAAAGAACAACGGAGACCGCAAGAAACGAACAGAAAGGAACGACCGCGAAGCGAAAGAACAACGAACGGACCGACGGAGAGCGAGAACGAACCGACCGGACGACCGCGAAGCGAACGAACAGACAGGACGACCGCGGAAGCGAAAAAGAACCAGACGACGACCGCGAAGAGAAACGACAGACCGAGCGAAGGAAAGAAAGACCGAAGAACGACGACGAACGACGAACGAAACAGACCGGACGGCGCCGGAAGCGAAAGCAACCAGACCGGACGACCGCGAAGCGAAACGAACACAGACCGGACGACCGCGAAGCGAACAGAACCAGACCGGACGACCGCGAAGCGAAAACGAAACAGACCGGACGACCGCGAAGCGAAAACGAACAGACGACGACCGAAGCGAAGCGACAACGAACCAACACGGACAACCGAACACAGACCGGAACGACAAAGCGAAACGAACCAGACCGACGACCGCGAAGCGAAAGAACCAGACCGGACGACGCAAGCGAAACGAAACCAGAACGGACGACCGCGAAGCGAACAAACGACGGACGACCGCGAAGCGAAACGAACCAGACCGGAGACCGCGAAGCGAAAAACGACCAGACCGGACGACCGCGAAGCGAGCGAAGCGAAACGAAACCAGACCGGACGACCGGAAGCGAAACAACCAGACAGGACGACCGCGAGGCGAAGCGAACCAGACAGGAACGAACCAACCATCGACAACCGACGGAAACGAACGACGAACGACCAAAGAACACAACGAACCGAACAACGAACAACAACAACCGAACGAACAGACGAAACGAGGAGCGAACCAACACCGGAACCCGAAGCGAAACGAACCGAAGGAGACCGACGAAACGAAACCGCAACGAACGAACATCGCAAGCGAATAAGCAAACCAAGACTAACAACGAACTCTACGCGAACTAAACAACCGACAGCCCGAACTAAGAAAGAACAACTACACCGAATAACGAAGCTAACAACCTAACGACTACGAATGCAACTAAACCAACCTAACACCACCTATAACAACTAAACGAATACAACCTCATCTACGAACAACAACCGTACTACACCTCGAACGAACTAACCAACACTACCTAATCTAACTAATCAAACTAACCATACTATACTAATCTAATCTAACAAACTACACTACCTATCAATACTAACTACTCAATCTAAACTAACCATACTACTACACTAACAAATCAACCAACCATCTACCACTAACTACACAACCGTACACTCTACAACAACCGACGTACACCCAAGAAACTAACCAACCGGACACCGAATAACAAACCTACAACCATCAACACAACCAACACCAACCGACACAGAACGAACAAACGAACTCCGCGACTCCGAAGCTAACAAAACTAACCAGACATACACCTCGAACGAAGCTAACAACCAACCGGCTACCCTAAAAAAAACCCAAACCTACGACCTCTAAGTGAAAAAACCACACCTAGAACAACGAATACACTCTACATACACACTAAACGAAACCTATACATCAAATCTAACTAACAACCTTAACCCTCTAACTACTAAACTAACCATACCTTACTACCTCTAATCTAATCTAAACTAACCATACCTTACTAACTAATAATACCTACCTACAACTAACTAACCTACAACCACCTAACCCTAAAAATAACCTAATCCAAATCAATCTAAATAACCTCATTACTACCTCTAATCTAATCAAACCTAACCTACCTACAACCCTAACCTACTATCAATCTAACCATACCTTATACCTCTTATCTAAAACTAACCTAACATACTGCACCGTGCTAACTGAAACCAAGGATTTTATTCAAATAGTTCTATATAACTAAATAAAACATTAAATCAAAATGTAAAGTACTGACTCTAAAATTAAGAAGTACCTACTCTAAGCTAATCTAAAACTTTGATCAATCTAATTAACCCTTTTCCCATACCTTATACATTAATTATGGAATCGTTTTATCAATACTGTATTAACTTAATACAACTACTACTCCTCTAGTGGCTAGTTTATACCTTTAAGCAATAGGACATACTACTTTAATTAAACTACCATATTATTTATCTTTTACAGCATATTATAACTTCATTCAACTACCATACCACCCTTAATCTAACAACCATTAGGTTAGCTCTAATCTATACTGAACATACCTGTACCCATTATGAGTCTAACCTTAACGAATAATTTTCAACATAGAATCTTGAGATAAATACCTAACAAACTAACCTACCTTCACCATCTACCGGAGTAAATACCTACTTACACAATAGCTAAAGCTTACCTTGACTTGGAAGTTCCATGTAATACCATACACAACACTAACCATGGCATACTCTCTAAATAAATGAACCATACTTACTACCTCTAATCTATCTAAACTTTTAAGAACTATTACACCACTCAACTCAATTTTCTAAAAGTTTGATAACAAATTACTTCTTCTCCCCAGCTATGCAGCTGCACCGTGGCTACACTGTAAACCCCAATATTTTTTATCAAATTAGTTCTAGTAAGCTCACTAAAGTGAAATGAAAAGTCATATTTACTTTAAATGTTTTAAAATGGTACTGACTCACAATTTTAGGAGAAGTCACCATCAACTCATTTTTAAAAGTTATGATAACCAAAATTAACCTTTTTCCCCAGCATGCTCTACTACAGGTAGATTTTTTGGAATTGTTTTTAATATCTGTTGTTTTGAATGTACATTGAGTGACAGTGGCGGTTTGGTGCCGTTTTAAGATGAGGGAGGATGATTCTTTTATTTATGAGCATTGGCCTTATTTCTATTACAGCATATTGGATGACTGTCATTCATATTCCATTCACCCAGTTCAATGTAACATCGATAGGTTTAGGCTACTACATGATACTTGAATATTCCCTGTACCCATTATGAGGTTGCTACATCCTTCCTATGAATGAAAGTTTACAACATAGAGAATTTTGAGTAATCAAGATGACAGACAGTGACACATTCAATACTGCCTTGCACACTCTTGCCAGGGAGTAATCATTAGTCCACAAGTAGCAAAAGCTTACCTTGACTTGGAAGAGTTCCAGTGTTAAATAGCCATAGCCAGCCAGCTAACATGGCATCCCTCTCTGTTTGAGCAGAGTGAAAGAAGAAAAATATATATACAGTGTATAGCTCTCTCTCTCTCTCTCTCTCTCTCTCTCTCTCTCTCTCTCTGTGTCTCTCTCTCTGTCTCTCTCTCTGTCTCTCTCTCTCTCTGTCTCTCTCTCTCTCTCTCTCTCTCTCTCTCTCTCTCTCTCTCTCTCTCTCTCTCTCTCTCTCTCTCTCAATTCAATTCAATTCAATTCAATTCAATTCAATTCAATTCAATTCAATTTCAATTTAAGGGCTTTATTGACATGGGAAACACATGTTAACATTGCTTCTCCTTAATTTAGGAAGAAATGAATTTGTTCAAAACTGTTCAACTATTGTCTTTCTATCTCTTTGAGTCATGTTATGCACTGCAGTGCTAGCTAGCTGTAGCTTATGCTTTCAGTACTAGATTCATTCTCTGATCCTTTCATTGGGTGGACAACATGTCAGTTCTTGCTGCAAGAGCTCAGATAGGCTGGAGGACGCTGTCCTAATTACTGTGTAAGTCTATGGAAGGGGGTGAGAACCATGAGCCTCCTAGGTTATGTATTGAAGTCAATGTACCCAGAGGAGGACGGAAACTAGCTGTCCTCCGGCTACACCATGGTGCTACCCTACAGAGTGCTGTTGAGGCTACTGTAGACATTCATTGCAAAACAGTGTTTTAATCAAATATTTGGTGACGTGAATATATTTAGTATAGTTTTATCTAAAAAATGATTACTTTAATGTTTCACTATCTGTATTTTTATGAAATTCACTGATGAGGATGGTCCTCCCCTTCCTCCTCTGAGGAGCCTCCACTGATTGAGTGATTGATTGATTCATGTTAAACATACACAACGATAAAAAACATTACTTTAACTTTTTTTTTAAGAGTTTCTGATTTTTCAATCAACAAACAAAACACATTCCACCCTCACATGTGGCAAACATGAATAATATAATTACATAAAATATAAAACAAAACAAACAACACATTTGCAGCAGCACTATCTGTGATCGTGTTAGCTATTTCCAGCTTTAGCTGAGACAATGAGCAAATCATTAGTTTTACAGCACCACAACATGTACGGAGCATTCGGAAAGTACTCAGACCCCTTCACTTTTTCCACATTTTGTTACGTTACAGCCTTATTCTAAAATTGATTAAATTGTTTTGTTTTTCTCA